CTGCCTGTAGAGCTTACCATCTCAAATTTGATGGAGGGTAGGCACAAACAGAAGGAATATGAAGGTGAATACAAAACAGGAGAAGAGTGTGGGTTCATTCAGTTACTCTTTGTCAAAATTATATATGGGATGAAGAATAAAAGGTTGTACTGGAGGCTTCAAACCAAATGTGAACATCAAGGAAGATTCTGAAGGAAGAAAAACATAATCATGCAGCTGTTCTAGAAGCAAGAAAGTTCACGGGAAATAAAATAGAAAGGGATGAGTAATCTGAAAGGAAGAAAGGACAGAAAGCTGACTGCAGCAGCACTCTGAAGGGGTGACAGTAATGGGTCAGAATACATAAGGACACGTGAACAGATAGAGTAGAAGGATGGCAGGCCATGAAGGACTTTAAAGTTAAGCATAAGGTTTGTGTAGCATTTAGAAGCAGATACGAGTTGACTGCAGGGATTCAAGGAGGAGCTTCAAATGGTTGAAACTATGGCAGAAATTAATTGCTCTGCCAATACAGTTGTAAGCAGAAGCAAAGAAGGGACAAAGATGTAATAATGGAAAATCAGAGGTACATATTGAGCTTTTACCCAAAGGGGCATTTTATTAAATGTAAAGGAAGATGTGCATTCACTTTATATCCATTATGAGTATATTGCTTTCTGCAATCCAGATTCACTAAGCAAAGAAACTTAGGTATATTTGTAATCAAATTAATTTGGCTCCAGCTTTTTCAGGTGCTGAAACGGCATGTTTATTCATGCAATGTCATATAATTGGAAGAATTCCACAACTGTTTAATCATTCCATGGAAAACAGAAAATATGTTCATCCATTTTACCTTCATGTTTTCTTCATTTTTTTCTTCAAGTTTTCAAAATTTTGAGCACTGTAAGTAGAATGCCTCACTGGAAAAGACAGCAGTATATACATGTGCAGCCCAAATAAAGGCAAATCTTCACTGGTGGTTAGTTATCTTTCTTACCAAAAAAAGAGTTCGACTCATTGCTTCCACAGGGACGCTCACTTACAATGTTTTTATTAGGCTAGAAGAAGGCAATGTTAGTTCACGGAAGCATCCACTCAGAGATGAAAGAGTAAAAAGTGTAATGTTTCTCTCTGAAGCAAAAAGAAGCATTTTTCTAATGACAGACAAGGTCATGAATGTTTTATTTTTAAATACCTGGCAATATTTTCTTCACAAATGCAACTTGTCTAGAAGGAAATGAAGATTATGAGGAAGAGTCTAATATGTGTTTGAATGACCTCATTCAGACATCATTAGTAGGGTCAGGAGAAGCAAGGCTTGTATCAGGAGAAGGAGAAAAGGAAAACCTAAGGGATGGCTAATGCTCTCTCCCCTACAGCAATCTATCTATCATGACTTATCAAAAAAAGGGCTTGTTTCTGATTAAGGTCAACCTAATCTGAGTTACAGCTGCAGGCCTGACCCTAGACAGTCACAATGGAGTCCTCTGCTTATCTTTGAGGGTGGGGGATCCTAACGGGAAGGCTTGTAGCAGAGCTAATGTCTTTTAAAGCTATGAAGAAGCTAAACCAAGCAAGGTATTGTCTGCTTAGAGGAAGAAAAGAAATTAAATAATGTACATGTGCCATTCCTTTCCAAAGACTTATATTTATCTAGCCAAAGTGCTGACAGATACTAGTCTAGTTTCCTTAGCCAAATTAATGGGGAGGGGGAAATTTTAACAGCATTGACTATGATAGCTAAGCAGAACCTTCATGTCTAGGAGTCGTGTATCTCTGAATACCACATTGTTCTATTGTTCCACATACGGATAAGAACAAACAGTATGGAATGAATTAGACCTGCTTCTGGGCTTCCTGGCCACAGTGAGAAACAGAATGCTGTTCAACAGCAGCATTTGCTCTGAACCAGCAGGATTCTTCTTTTATGTGAAGGGGAAAGCTGAAGGCAGAAGAAAAGGAAGACCAAATAAAAGATGGAGTGACTCCTTCAAGGAAGTCACTTTTTATTACTTATTAGATATACCCTGCTTTTATTTTACACTGAACTTAAAGCAGCGTACATAATTCTCTTCCTCCTGTTCTCTGTCTTATCCCCCAGAGCAACAACCCTGTGAGGTAGGTTGGGCTGTGACTGGTCCAAAGTCATCCAGTTGGCTCCATGGCCAAGCGGGGACTAGAACCTAGATTACCCGAGTCCCAGTCCTGTGCTCTTAACCACTATACCACACTGGTTCTCCAAATCAGAATTCCAAGTCCGATAAAGTGGTGGGTAAGAACAGAAGCCTTGTGGTGAGGTTCCCAGACTAGCATCATGGATATATTATTGAAGACAAGGATTTCCCATGCATTGTAGTGAATTTTTTAAAAGTTACTTTTATCAGAAATGGATTTTATCAGTTCATCTGTACAAAAGTGGTTGAACTTCCCCAACTGAGAAGCTATAAATTGGAAACGAATATCTGAGTTAGGAAGAGAATTTGGCCTTCGCCTAGGTCCCATCTGTTAGACTGCAACTCTTGACTTGGAAATAAATGTCATGAGCAGTATCAGTGGCAGCAAGCCAACTATGAAGTGTTATGCAACCTAGTGGTTAACAAAAAATACTCTAAAATGCTCCATAAAGAGTGCCATTTCGTACAAGCCTTACCAGGGTCCCACATTCAAGTATAAAATATACACAATTTATGCTGATTAAAAGTGTGCAGAAGCAAATAAAACACATTTTTTCCTTTCATGCATAGTCTCTGCCTATGTTCACAGTCAGAGTGCTCAGGCTTGACATACACAGAATATTATCCTTTTGGAAACAGCAGATGGCATGCATATTTCACATGCATACCCAACTATTTTCCATGAAACAGCCAATACAGAATGAAGGATACTAACTAGTTTAAGTCAAGAACTATTCAATTTTCTGTGCATTAGGAATGCTTAAAAATATTTACACTCCTGCCAAGAAGAGCTCTGTAAGCAAAAGCTCACTGCCCGGCAAGGAGGCCATTGATGTGATGACTCCCACAGCACTTCTGCAGTCAGAAATGGAACAGGATTGGAGCAGAGTGAAATCCCTGGGGAAGCCAGGGGAATGAAGAGCCGATGGGGGCCGTCTAATCTAATAACAGATCACATCGCAGACACATGTACAAGCTTGACAGAAGCAAATGCAGCCACTTAACCTAGGGATGACAGCTGAAGCAGGCCAGCTTCACTGCTACCAAAAAGGAAGAGAGTGGAAAAGAAGTAACAGTAGCAAGGTCATTGCTGAAGCCCACAGTCAGGAGAGGGTCTGATTATATGAAATGGCTTCCCACAGTATATGGTTTTGACAACAGAGAACAAGTGAAGGGGGCCAGCTAAGTCTGGTGAAGGCCTTGCCTCTAGGGCTGGGAAGGCAGGAAGCAAAACAGACCTAGCTGGCTTCTTCCCTTGTGGAAAACAGAAATTCGTCAGTGAGTGATTTTCCAAAGTAGAGTTACTATTCTGTATGCACTGTAAGTATCTAGTCATATTATATATTTGAAATTTTAACATATAGTTGTCTTGCAGAATACCCATCAAATGACCATGTTATCCCACAATCAGCAGCCACAAACATTGATCAAAAAATGCCAGAAACTGAAGGCTGAGTGGGAATGGTTTTGACACATGTTTTTATTCCAAGACAGATAAGCAAATTAACCCAAAGTACATTTAAATGGTGCACCAGAATGGTTCTCAGCTAGGCTTTCATTTCCAAAATGACTCTAGAGTACATTATGATTAGCAGAAATAGTCTAATCATGCTGTACACAGAAAACAATAGCCAGGCAGTTCCAGCCAAGTCCACAATTTTTACATGCTGTGCAAAATAAATAAATAATTAGGCACATGTAGATGTAAATCACTATATAAAAATTAAACCATTCACAGGTGGGCCAACAGTATTTATTGAAGGGAAAGCACACATAGTTAAGAATCTTTCTGATATTGCCATGTTAATGGGAGTTCATGTGTCTTCTTCATTATATTCCCCATTTTTGACATTTCAGCTAGAATGTGGTTGTTCTCATATATATGAGAATCACTATCAAATCCTTAGGGGGAAATTGCTCTGAGAAATCAAAATTCAGATGCTCCAATGTAATGACACTATTCCTGTCTAAACTCTGACGAGGTAGAATGTCCATCATCGATTTCCACTAATTCCATTTTGTGCAGAATGACACATGCAAGCACTACCAGAAATCAGGTAGATTATCAGCAAATGCACTGATGGTTCCATATGTAAGTGCCATCCACAAAAAGGGTTTGCTTAGCCTAACTCTGTATATATTACAACATGTAGCACTATAAAATACTAGTAAGCATTTTAAGGTTTTTTAAAAATATCATTTATACTTATATTTTGCATAATTTATAAAGTATTCTATTATAGTATACTTTATCATTTATGCAATTGGTGTAAATGATGTTAAGAGAGAAAAATCTTAAAATTCAGGTGAACAAAAGGGTAAAAAATTTATTTCATTTCACTTGTTTAATATATTACTAAGCCATTTCCTCTACAAGGAGGCTACATAGGATGTAAAGAAAAGGAAAAAATTAAGATGCATGATGGCTGAGTGTAAATAATTTCAGCTCATACATATACCCAAAGTTGCACAACTTGCATTTGTTTTAATGTAACTTGCATTGGTCTCCCACGCCAGCCTTTTGGTGTTCTCTGCAGAAATTTATGTGGGGTCAGATGTGGTGGGCAGTGGGTCCTCACATTTAGCCATCCAAAATTTAGGATAAACACTGAATACATTTAAATATTCCAGGCATAAGCTGTGAATCCAAATACAACACACAAAAATGATTAAAATAATAACTGTATAGGCACTCTAGGTCAGAAAGCTGCTAATATTACACTTATTTAGCACTTCAGTCTAGCATCAACAATTTTCTTTGTTTACCAAGTTGTGGAATACTTGTTGATGGTATTTATTCTGTTTATCCCTGAAAACATAAAACTATGGAATGAAACTACTCACGTAATGTCGCTGCGCTGGTAACAACCCTGAAGAAGACAGGCAATCAGATCACTGATGAAATCCACATCATCACTGTAAAGAGCTGCTTCAAGTTCCTAATGAGAGAAAAAATGAAATAAAATTTCTCAAATCCCTTACTTCCTGGGAGGAACACCACATGTGACTTCAACAAATATCAATTCTAGCAGAATATGATTGGCATTGCCACTGTCATTTGTAGAACCTTTTCAACATGGCAAACGCTTTATGATTTGTACTTTTCATACAAATAGGAGCAAATTATTATTATTGACTTATAGGAAGGAACTAATACTAACCCAAAGCTAACCACTAAGAGGATCAATGACACACAACTCAAACATGCCTGGTTTGGATGGATTTTCCTTTTTTTCCACAAACATAACTGGAAGAAAATTTTGTTTGTATTATTAATGTTTGTATTATTCTCCGGACATGCTACCTCTCTCTCTTTCTTGGTCTTCTTAATTCGAAAAGAACAGGCTGTGGTTCCATGGAAACAAAACTTGAAAAATATGGTATTGGGCACACCATGCAGTTTTTTGAGAATCGGATGTTTAAAAAGAACAGTTTTCTAGTTTCTTACCACTATGCAGATATGCTTGAACATGTGTGGGTGCATGTTTGCTGCAATCTTGGAAGCCAAAGGCCTATAGATCAGCAAGATTTCTAAGGATGCAATCCTGTTGGGGTGATGTAAACTCCTGAACACAGACACATCATTGTCACTCATACAGGAAGGAGTGACAGGGATTATATTTGTCTTTCTATTCTGTATTTTCAACAGAGGTAGGTAGGTTGGTTGGTTTTTTGGCCTGTCTAGAGAAGGCATTTTGAATTTGGAGGTAAAGAAGGTGGAGAAGCCCCAGGATAGCTCTTGTCCTGCCCCTTCCAATTGCCTCCTCTCCCTGCCCACTGCATCTGGGAATCAGACGCTGCCTAGAGGCTATAGGATTGCTCCCTAAGGAACAGAAGGAGGGCAATGCTTTACATACATTTATGACTTTCTCAGAATTAGCAAATTCAGCTAAATTAGAGAATTAGTAAAAAAAAAAGCAGTCTAAATAACATAATATGGTAATTAATACAAATATGCAAAATTGATCTCAGCAACTTTTTTGGTCCATGAGTGGTACTGCCTTGCCACTTTTCTTTTTGAGCCAAATTCACAAAGTATGATTATCACTGCTTCTACAATAGTTTAGCATAGTGTGTAGTTTGTGTGTTTATCGTGTATTTTGAAATAATGAGGTAAATGCGTACCTATTGTTTCTGAGAGTTCTCTCAAAAATTATGTGCTTCTCTAAATGCTCTTTAAACAGCAACTGTTAAATATTTTATGGAATACAAACCAGAGCAATTGCTTTATTTCTTTTAAGTTTCTCTTTAAATTGATTGCATAACAATTCTCTCCAGCACAGTTTTAAACTTAGGGTGCCAGTTCAAGAATGCCAGGAATGAACTGCAGTGAGACCTGGGCAAGTGCCCTGCCCTTCCATTCTCCTTCTCCTCTGGTTCAGCTGTGGAGAGATCAGAAATATTTATTTCTGTTTTTAATTAACTGAGCCCTCAAATATGGTTAATCTTACCTATAGTTTGTAGAAATAAGCTGATTTCATAACCTAAGTTTGGAAGGTTCACATAAAAGAAATTGTGGCGTACCAAAAATGGAAGTGAGCGCTTCTAATTTCCTCCTCATAAATGTGCTGGTTGGGGGGGGGGGGGAGAATAGGAGTGTGTAAGACTTAGGCCCACTGTGACTAATTCACATCTTGATAAACTATGGTTTATTGTGACATCAAAATCAATTCAAGGTTTCTTCTGTTTTATAGAACAGAAGAATATATAGCGGTTCTACAGAGCACCTCTTCTATGGAAGATTCTAAGAAATATTTACATGTACATTTAGAACATATACACATATCTGCTATGATCTCTACAAATATTAATATGTCATCTTTAATAATGACCAAAACAAGATGCGTCACACTAGAAGCCAGTCATGTTAAAGACAAAGCTCTTCGTATGTCTTAGTGGACAGAGATTTAATATGTACCTTACTGTTTAATATACTCTTCTGATGGGGATCACTAAACTATATCAGGAATTAAGTGACTACTGAACTTTATTGGCTTTGCGTGTGGCTTTTTTTTCCATTAAAAGCTCTCACACACTGAAGGTTTATATAACATGGCCAGCTCATTACAATGACTGGGGATTGTGTTGTGTTATCTGAACATCGCAATCATAGGTTATTCAATGGTCAAACAAGCATCACATAATCATACTATTAGTTGTTTTTATTATTTACAGTCTCCCCACTGAAAATTAATGTTAGCCTTAGAGTACTTAAAACACAAAAGCAATTTCTCATCTTGTGCAATTATACAGAAGGCTTCCTTGGGGGAAAAGTTACCCCAACATGATTAATCTACCTCTGCTTGTACAAAAGGTAGATTAACAAATTCTAAAGAATTGCTAACATTTATGGTGCGATCTTGCACACAGTTCAGTGTGGGCCATTTTTTAATTGTTCCGTTTCCTAGTCTTGAGCTGCCAATGATATACTATGATGCAATCATATAAACACAGATGCTTATGGATCTGCAGGGCTATTGGTAGATCTTTCCACAATCAATTGAAATAGAATATACAAGAAACAAATAAGAAAACCTATTTATATGTTTCATTAATAATATTAATATTTGCTTGTATTTATTGTTTATATTATTTTCTGTTTTTCCTCCAAGGTCCCCAGACCATGTAATTTTTAAAATAGATTGTTTATGAAACTTTTATTTTGATATTGTATGTGCTAGCTCTTTGAACAGGATGTTAATTGTTTTTTATGTAGCATTATCGTTAAAAGTCTTTAGCCCTTTCAATAGCCAACATCTGACAAACCTAAAGACAGAGCACAAGGTAATGCACACTCTTTCATATCAGTGCATCATGCCACCTGTGAAAACAGTAGAAATGCAGAAATGTCATCATTTTCCTTTTAAACATCACTTCTACCAGATCACTACACAGTTTTGAGCTTGAAAACCAGATGTGTGTGTTAAAGAGCAGTCTGGGAAAGTCTGAATAGGTGTGAACGCTTTTACATTACATAGCCAAAGAAATAAATCTACAGTTTCTACTGTATATACCTTCCACCTATGAAGATGGAAAATAAGAGAATAACAGAATTTGTTGCATTAATTTTTGTTGGTAAAAGTCTATGCAGTAGAGACATAGTTTAGGGAAACAGATAATTTTTACAAATTTCAGTCCTAATGATGAAAGTTAATATGCGACAGAAGTTAACACAAATATTTAAGCAGATCATAACACAAACAGCAACTGTTCCTTATAAGAGACTTGCTGGCAAAGAAAGAAAGAAGGAAAAAGCAGGATTCTCACTAGCTCTACTGCACAGTGCTCAATCCTGAGATAAACCGCATCCCCTAAATCCTTTGTTTTTCCCTTTTCTCCTTGAGCATTGAGCTGTGAGCACAGAAATCTAAACCTTGCCAAAATGCTTTGGGGACAGAACAGAAAGGAAACAAGAGGCAGCAGCAAATCAGCACAGTATGTGTACTGGACTGGCGGGAGGAGGTATAAAATGGAGGCACACAGTTCCTTTTCCACCCCTCTGTATGTTCACAGAGCACTGGACAGGAGAGAAAAGCCATATTCTCCCCTTTCCAGCTGGCGTCACAGCTCATTAGGGAAAAGCCTGTTTAACGTATCTCCAGCCACCCCCACCCCCATGACTAAATCCCTTGGAGTCTTGCAATGGCTTTTGGGAAAACACACATTGCATACAGCAAGGGCTTCTACTTTACCCAGGAGAAGAAATGGATAACAGCAGGGCTAGAATAGAGATAGCAAGGAGATACAGATCCTTAAACACTAGGCTGGGAAAGAATTTATATTTCTGCTATTAGGAACGAGTATTTGTGTATCAGTCTGTGTTTTCCCCTATGTTTAGCATTCAAACTGATTCCCCTACTCTAGCCCAGAAACAATCTCCATTTGATGTATTCAACTATTTGCTTGAAACACTTAGGTTCATCTACCAAGCAATTAAGAAAATCTCTTTTAAAAATTCAATCAGACTGACTATACATGTTAGATCAAGAAAAAATTACAAGAAAAAAATTAAAGTGGATTATTACTGACAGGTTTCTAATATTTGATGTCAGAAGAAAGAGGAGGAATAGTTCACACCATAATACAGTGAGTGTCAGAAATTGGTAAAAATTTTCATGACAGGATCTCTCTCTCTCTCACACACACACCACATAGAAGCACAGATGAGGGGACACAGGTCCTGTACTGTCCTGTGTATTTTTAAGTAGATGTTTAATTAAAAAGCACAAATTAAAATTCAAATCAAATTTAAATATTCTTACAATTTAAATGCTTGAAGTAATAAAATATGTTTTAAATAGCATATAATAATTCATTCCATATACAAACACCAAAATCTTATCTGTATTTGATTGAATCCTAAATCTACTTAAAACTAACATTAAAAAAAGTCTGCAGTATCAAAAGTCAATCTTCTCTAATTCTACATTGAAAAATCAAAATTTTAAAAACTTTAAAAGTATCATTTAAGTTATAATTAATACCTCTTCCTTGATATTTTCATAGTTCTATTCCAGTACTATTCAATCTATTCCAATCTTCCAAAGAAACTTTTTTTGTTCTGTATCTTAAAACTGGTTTCTACAATACCACTCCTCTGATGGATCGTTCCATTTTTTTCTCAAATTGATGTACCAACAAATGGGCTGTAAGCACGATATTTTCCTTTTTCTTAAACTAACAGAACAATCCTGTACAACAATTATTCTGGAAGATGTGGGAGAGATACAAAACTTCTAGGCCCGTAGAACAGTCACTGCATCCTAAACATGTTTGTCCCAAGAGGAAAGAAGGAAACCGGGCAATCATAAAATACAAAGACAACATATACAGTAGCACTCCAGCCCCTGCATCCCTGGAAACATTGCCAGGATCTGCCAATCAGAGACTGTGTGGGTACTGTCAACTCCACAGAGTATTCCTATTAAGTCATAATGAG